CTGTAGTATAAGATATCGAGAGCAAGTATTATGGGATTAGGAATTCTAATCAGTAAGGCTCAGTGATAGGAAATATTAAACTCTCACAGTGGAAATAATGCAGGGGAGTGCCAAAACATACTAGACATGAGGAACAATGGGCCATGAGGCTGATGTAGGAAATACAGGTAAGGTCCTGTAGCCAGTGTTAAATCTGATGAGATGGTCACGGTGGCCCCTGGAACGCACAATCCTATAAACAGACTCCAGTTCCTCTAAAAAACAAGAATCCAGTAAGTAAGAATTGGCCAGTGTGGTTGCACAAGGAGATGTCCAAACAAAAGAGATTTGAAGAAAGAGGATGTGGGAGGTAAGCAAGTAAGAATCCAGTCTCATAAGTCTTGCTGACACCATACTAAAGACAATGGAAAAGAAATAAATGAATTTGTGTTAGCCAAAGTACCCAAGGAAATTTAAAAAGATTTTTCGTTTATATCAGGGAGGAGGTAGAAGCAATAAGGAAGAAAACTGGTCTATTAAAACATGAAAAGAGCATAGAAGTTAATTATTCAGAAGTGGTTAAGACAGAACTCCTTTGTGCCTTCAGTGAAAAAAAAAAAAAATACAAGAAAATTTCGAATGAGTAGCTTAAATATTTTTAACAGTGAGGCTGAGTATTTGATGTTGAAGGTTATTAACCACTAGAACAAAATTGCCATTTTCTTGATCTCTTCACATTAAGACTGGAAGTTTTTCTGGAAGATTAGCTTCAGCCAAACATAGGTTTTGGACTTGCTACAAGGTGACGCTCTGTGGCCTGTGGTGCACAGGATGTAATGTTATGTCATCTTACGGTTGCTTCTAGCTGTAAAGTAGGGCACTACAATGCTTTGTAGGCATAAGCCTGTGTCAGAGGTGGTGAAAAGTCATCTCAGGCCAGCAACAGTTTTTGAGAGTAAGAATATTCCAAGGGAGAAGCAGCTTGGATTGATTCTGGCAAATCAGCTTGATTTTTGGGAGGACGCTGTAAAGCTGGAGGACCTAAAGTACACAGAGATGCTTTCAAAGCTACCCCAGTGATTCTGATGCTGAATTCCCATTAAAACTGGTCCCATTCAAAGAGAGGTTAGAACATTTTAACTGTAATGTATTTGTCTTTCAGTCAAATGTTTCATTTAAAATTTCAGTAAAATTTTCAAAAAGGACCTAAAGGACCTTAGAAGGAAAAAAAAACAAAACAAAAAAAAACACAAAACATTTTCCAAAGCGACTTGGGCACTGACTTTCAATGACTTGTGTTGGCATACCACACAAGATTCTAGCCTTTAATCTCTCTGTGCTACTGTTCTCTATCTGTAAAATGGAAATTGCGGTACCTCCTTTCCTCACAGGGATGCTGTGAGGACAGAAATGTTTGTGTTACACTTGAGTACTATGGTTGTTAGTGCCATAATAAACAAATGTAAATAATCCAGTATACGCAGAGTGAAAAATATTAAGTATCAAAATGAATTATTCAGCGTGGTATTGCATTTTTACACAAGTGCCGCATGTGGAAGGCATTTTAGTTCAAAACTGCACTGCTGCCATTTTCTGTGTGCTGACATGCATTTTGCTGCTTATACAACTGCACACGGTGCAGCAGAGTTTGCATCAGCTCGTGGGTGGGGCAGACTCAATTAATGGAGTCTGCTCCAAAGCGGTGGATCTCCGTCGTGTCATGGGACTAAAAGGTATATGTATAAATGCCCATAAAGAGCTGCCCATAAAGAGCTGTTAGGAGTAAAGAGAGTGAATTAAGAAAGGGAAAACAGAGGAGGAATGTTAGGCAAACTTCATGATAATAACAGATCTCTCTATCAGGAAGCAGAATAGGCCAAAGTGCCTTCAGCGAGGGTGTTCCACTGTAACTAAACCATCAATTTCCAGTGAAGTGGTTGCTTTATTGTAAGAACCCAAGTGCGGTTCTTCTTTCTGCACATAACAGGACAAAGAATTCAGACAGTTGCAGGCATCAGATCTGAAGTGTGATACTCCTTGGACAGTGGTGGAAAAGTCATGCTTTCCATTTTGTATAGTTTCTAATTGGAAAAGTTGCAGTGGATATTTTTTTTTCCCCTGAAGATTGTTTCTGATCTAATTAATTAGGCCTATATTTCTGTTAAAACATTAAAACAAATAAGTAATCTAAATATCATGCGTAAGATTAAAGAACTCATTTACATTAGTGTGGTGGTGACACGCCCCCACAGCCTCTAAAGGAGGTGAGGGTAAACACCGGGGGGCCCAAAACCCAGAAAGAGACCCCCCGAGGGGGGAACTTAACTCCAGCCGGTCCTGCAGCGCAGGAGCTGGGACCGCAGCTGCAGTTGCGCGAGCTGGCGTTATGTCAGCTGTTTAAGCAGTTGTTCCCTGCGCGGGGAACAGCTGGACCAATCGCGACAGCCAGCATAGCTGCCACGGGGAAGTTTAAAAGCCCTGACGGAACTCACGGGGAGAAGGTGGAGCCAGAGAGGGAGAGAGTTGGCAGGCAGCACGCCCGGCGTGCTGAGGCTCCCACTGAAGAAGGGCACAGTGCAGCCGGCACAGCACAGGCAAGCGGCGCAGGGGAAAACTTTGAGCCCCCACTGGAGACAGAGCAGGGGAAGCACTGCAGCTCCCTGTGGGAACCTGACCTGGAAAGGCGGGTAAACCCCCTGGAAGAGGCAGAGCAGAGGAGGGGTTTTGAGCCCCATGTAGACAGCTGGGGAGGAGGCGGCGGCTCCACACCCCGCTCCTCTCCAGAAGAATTTTTTTTTTTAAGACTACGGAAGGAAAGCAAAAGGAGGAAAGGAGGAAAGTCCCAGGGATAGGGAGAAAGGGTCTGGGCGTCAAGACCTGAGGGACACGAGCCGGCTGAGCCTGCAGCCGAGTGCTCTTCCCTTGCCCCGAAGCAGACCGCGGGCAAGCCCTGCCAGACCAAGGCCAACGTCGGACCATCACGTAACCGGTTGGCAAGTGGACAGAGTGTAGGGGAGGCAGAGCCCTGTGGAACATCGTGCCAAACAACTGCGAGTATAGCCGCTGTCGGGAAGCCCCTCTGGGAAGATCTTCACTGAACCCCTCTCTTGATAGTTAACAGCAAAGTTGTGGCAGAAGAGTCGAGGGGACGGGCTACATTACTGGCAAGCTGTGTCACTCATCAGGCCCCAGGCATCACAATTAGATTATTCTTTTTTATAACTGTGGGGGTGTTAATTTATGTAATAATTTTGCACAGGTCCAAATATGTGGATATTTAGAAAAGTTCCCATTAAACTAAGTCAAACACAATTTCTTTCCTTAGTATTTTCCTTTTGTCTTGAAGCACCAGCATTTGTAACTGTTTTAGATATTAATTTTTTATTTTATCTAGGAATATTTACTCGGGTAAATTTATTTTCAAGTCAGTGGGAATTTGCCTGAAATAAACACTGAACAAAAACTGAAGAAATATTACAGGGATAATAATAGTACTAAAATAAAAATATAGGGTGTGGGGCATATAAATGATAAGGGACATATAAAAACAACTGCAACCATTAAGAAGAAACTTTCACTTTGGACAGGGTATTCCATAATTGTCAATAAGAAGGTTTTACTGAAGCATCTAATAACAGCTAACAGGATAAACTAAGCAAGATTAATTGATCCAGATTGGCAGACCCTATGACAGACCAGACTGTTTTATTTTTTTCCTCTTCTTTATTTCTACTAATCTATGAATATTATTTATCTTAAAATGCAGGGCCCAATTTGTTTTCTTTGGGGTTTTACTTCGAGAACAGAGACAACCCTGGCCCTAAAATGTTTACAATCTGTTTCTATAGCATAAGGCACAGTAGGGTCCTGATTGAAGTCTAGGCCTCTTAGACTCTATCAGAAAACAAATAGAATAACTAATGCTAATAACTTTGATATGGTAGGGATTGCCTAAATCAGGGCTGCCCAACTGGTGGGTTGGAGGGGTTAACATGCAGCTCCCCCAGCTCCTACAAGACTGCTGCTTGCCTTCCTGCTCCAGCCCTACGGGGAATTGCAGTAAAGCCCACAGCACTGAGGGGGCTCGTGGCATTATGCAGCAAGAGAGCTGAGATGTGGGCCATCTGCGTACATAGCGTGTGGCGGACATCACCTACATGAGTGGTACAGGGTGGGGGATACAGCCTGGGGTATGCAGCTCTGGGACATGCAGCCCGTGCCACATGGAGCCCTGAGAAATTGGACAACCCTGGCCTAGGTAAAGGTGTATAAATATGCAAGGGCAGCTTTTCAAAAGGAGACACCATTGTGAGCTCAGACTACAATATGCTTTTTGGATTGGGGCTTATTTGTGCAGCTGCGTCAATTATGTAGGTAAATTAAGTGATTTAAGTACAAATGGATAGTTGGAGCACATCACACCTCCTGTGCCCTTCTTTCTGTATTGGTTTCCTGTAGAATTTTGCATCAATTTCCATACCAAAATGATCGTATGGCATGCTAAAAAAAAAAAAAAAGGCAGGGGAGACAGGGGTACTATTATTGCTGTGGCACTGTGATGGCAAGGACATAATTGGTTAATAAATGCCAATATTAGTCCTAAGAAAAGGACTACCGCCCATGCTACTGAGGAAGGCAAAAACCTATGTAGTCTTTGTCAATCTGAACTAGAAGGAAATGCCTTTTTGCCCCCAAATCTGGTGACCGGTCTAACTCTGAGCAGAAGAGCAAGGCCTTCTAGTCAGGAACCTCAGTTTTCTACAAATTAGCAAAAGCATCAGAACACTCCAATCAACCCATACCTAGCCTTCATGATTATGTACAACTACTCCTGGGGAGCTGGCGAGAGAATACAGGCATGTGACATGTACAAGTCATATTGCTTAATGTCACTACTGAAAAATCACTCGGATCCTATGGTAATGAGCCTGTTTTAAGAACATATATAAGATAAAATAGATAAAAATCTCCATTCCCAGTCTGTGTGTCCAGAGTTTTTGCACTTTCTAACAAAGACATACCTGACAATGAAAAACTGATCAGTCTCCGACTTCCTTGTCCCTGGGTTGAATCTTCATGGGTGATGCTTTTAAAAATCTGCTGGAAGAAGGAAAATGGTAAGATATTATTTCAATGCTGAGACTGTAGTCACCAATATTTCTTAAATTGAAAATCTACTTAATAACTGTTATTTCTACAGTTGTAATAAACCAGGAATCAATTACATGCTTTTATTAAGAAACATTGATCAAAACAATCTTTTTATCCAACTAACGGTTTTTCCAGTAAAGGAATAAATCAGCCACAAGGGAGTTCCTCTTCAGAGAAATGGGAGACTGAGAAACTGCTGTAATCTTATCAGTGTTTTGTGTCAAAAACAGCACTTCCTCACCCAAATGTTTGTAAATAGGAACTGCTTATTTAACAGTAAATAAATGCAGCATATAAAAATGGGTAGGTTGCTCCTAAATCTAATAACAACCTCTGCTCTTTATAAAATGAAACATGAAACTCCGTATTCTTGTTATTCTAGTGATTCCCCAGCTGACTTCTAGGAACCTGCATTTATATGGGAGGTTTATTACACACACACACCAGCTACACAACTATGACAGTATTAATTTCCTGAACAAACAGCAGCTGTGAACTACTGGAGTGCCAAATGTACAGAGCATATCTGAAAAAGCATGATCTTTATTATATGATCCTCTCTATCTATTTAAGAACCATCATTTTGAAAAGCTGACCCTGTTAGGCTTGCTGTTGAGTCATGATCAGAGCATTTCTTTACGTGCCATTGATGTAAACATTAGATTACCCATTTTCCCTTTGACCCCATCTGTACATTTTAAATAATGGTTTGGCTCTTAATGAAAAACCCACCCCCCCTGTTTCAGTTTAGTTGGACTGTATTTGCTTCTCCTCACTTCTCCCATTCATTTCCCGATTGAAATATATAAGTGGTTGGAGAAGATTTTATTTCCTGATGTCATTAGGTTCTGAGCACAACTGGACAGGAGACCAGCTGGGGCACAAACTCAGACACTGTACAGCTAAGACAAATAACTTTCTGCCACCCAATCTCTGAATCAAGCTAAGGATAGTGGAAGGGGTGGGGGGCTAGAATAGGGGTGGGAGTGTGTGAGAGCAGAATCTAAATGCTGAGTGAATGATTATTCTGGCACATTGAAAAAGCTAGTGAATAATATTGATACTGAACCAGAACAGATCCCCATGGGAGCCCAATAGAAAAACACTTCCTGGCACACATTTAACCAGGTACAATTCATTTGTGGGGAGGGGGTCTGTTAACCAGTTTTTAATTCATTTAAAAGGAGTTACACTGATTTTTGGCTAAGGCTTTTTTTTTTTTTTTTTTTTCCCCTTCCCCCCTCAGTCTGAATCTTATCTTAGACTGGGATTACTATAATGTATTTGACTACCTATAATATAATAATTCAATTACTTTTATCAACCAGATGTATAATTTCATCCAAAAAATTATTTGTTCAACAAGACCTATTTTACATAAAACCACACTGGCTGATGTTAATTATGCTGCCCTCTTTCGACTCTTTATTAGGTACATTTGATATAAATCATTTCATGCTATTGTACAGGATTAATGCCAGGTCAACTGACCTATAGCCTCTTGTATATAGGCATATCACGACTCTTTGCAGAAGCAGACCCTGATTTATCAGGATTATTTGGAACAGCATGAAAACTAAAACTAAGGAACAATAGTGCTGTGTGTGTGAATGACATACTCCATGGTTTATCTCAGTATACCATTCTGAGATACTTGACATTAGTCATATTGATATTGTTTGCCATTTAACCTGTCAAACATTTGAAATGAAACAAAACAATCTTTTTAAAGGGTAAAATTTGCTCCTCTGCACAGCTTCAGCAAAGGCACAATGCACCTATTAAGTCTTATTTTGAGGCTGTAATTTGGATAGGTTTTGCGCATGTGCATGAAATTTCATTCAGTTGGTTAGTTCCACACACATACTGAGGAGGAAACTATGTAATTTGGAAGCATAATTTTAAACTATCAGAGTTTCCAAGAAGTAAGGATATGGGGGGAAAAAAGACAACCAAAAACATGAAAAGCAGGACCTGATCTAGCTCCTTCTACAGCAAAAGCTGAGCACACTAGAGAGTTCTTTCTTCAGCTGTTTCGCAAATGGTGTTTTTGTTTGCACATCTGGCTGAGTAAAGTTTGGGTGTTCAGAAGACTAAAAGAAACATCTCAGGGATTTAAAATTAACAAGAAAAATCTTCCCAGGTAAGCCAAACTGCTGATGTTACAAACAACAAATCATCTTAGGAAACAGTACAAACAGCAGCAACAAATACAGTTAACTCAGTAATCAAACTACAACATAGGACAGGGATGGATAGTTCAAAAATATGGTCTTGTGAAAAGTAATCAGTACATTTCATCTGTCCATGATCAGCTCTTAACATTTTCCCAACAAAATCTTGTTTTCGATAAAAAAAAAATAGCTGAAGACGTCATAGAGATGATCTCCCCTATATTTGTCAGTGTCACGGCGGGGTCCTGTAGGAGGGCCATGATCTCCTTATGGCCCCCCTCTCCGTGCCTAGTTGGCCCAAGGGCACCCTCTGTTTCTCGCCCGCCACGTCTTTGATGGTTTAAATCAGTTGGGAGGCTGCTTTACACCCTCTCGGACACGTCTCAGACCCCGTGGTTTCTGTTGACTCAGACCCCGTGGTTTCCCAGACTCCTCGTGGGTCTTGTCCTGCAAATGGGTGCTTTGGGGCACCCTAGCCTTATGGGCTATGCGTGGCTCCAACCACCCCTTATACCACACCCCAAGCCTTGCAGTTGGAATGGACGTTGGACTGTCACTATCTCTCTCTTGACATACACTGCCGCCCCGTCCTGGGGCTCTTCTTGCCCTCTCTCGGGGCCTCCTCTGTGCTGTCGCCCTCTCTCGGGGCCTCAACATGCCCGCACTGGGCTTCTCAATAAGGCGCTCCCCTCTCTGGGGCTCGCCGTGCCCACACTTGGGCTTCTAAAACATGCTGCCCCCCGCTATCTGGGGCTCTCCACGCCCACACTTGGGCTTCTCAATGTTGCCCCCTTCCTGGGGCTCCGGGGTCCTCACAGTCCGCTGTGAGACCCCTTTGAAGATACTGCGCCCTCACTGGCGCCGGGGTCCCCACGCCACTGTGGGATCCCCCTGAGTACGCTGGGCCCTCACTGGTGCTGGGGCCCCCACACCACTGTGGGTCCCTATAAGGCCTCCTCCAACCCCTTATAGCCTCACCCAAACCACCGGTGTAATACAACAACAAAACAAATGCAAGCCCCTAGGCTGCAACTTAACTTAAAGCCGCCCGGCTAAAACCACGGTGATCAAACATCTTTGAGCTGCCATCCATAACTCTACTTAAGTGGTATCTGCAGTTCTTGCTGCTTCTCGCAACAAGGCTGAGGGAGCTCCTACCTCTCTAGCTGCTGGCAGAGAACTGCCAGCCTGGCCTCAGCCCTGGGCTTTATAAGAGCCAGGCCTTGCCCCTTACAGCCAGCTGACCGCTGTCAGGTGTGGGTCATTTGCTGCCTCCAGTTGCCCGGGCAACCCACAGCTGTGCTCCTTAGCCACTGCTAGGGCTTTTCCTCTAGCAGTTTTTCCTCTATAGAAGCAGGGCACCTCAGTGCTCTGCGACAGTCAGGTGTATTTAGAACTTGACATATGTTGCTTGCTGAGATATCTTGTCTGGTATCATCATCTTTGTCTGTATTACCTGGTGTCCCTGTGGACTTCTCCTGAAGGACAGCTGTACATAAGGCTTCATCAGTTGGTGTTCCATAGCAAACCAAGTCATCATCATGGGAAATATATTAAGTACATTCTTTGTTGTTTGACAATATCTTTGTTCATATCATATGATCTCTGACTTACACCTATTTGTAGCACAAAACCTGCCCAATGAAAACAGTTAGTGGTGGTACTTTTTCACATTTCTGCATATTCAATGCATCCAAAAGTGTTAGTTTTTTTGCAGTTTCATTGGCACATCTGTCTGAGTTGGTGTTGATACCTGAGGTTGTGCAAAAGTCCTTTGATAATGTCCATTACAGTTTTGAATGACTTCCTGTTTCCATGGCTGAACAACTGCTGTGGTGATAGTGGGGTTAGAAAAACAATTTTTGTATTCTTGAGTCATTCATCAGCATTGATTAGATGGGCATTGCAGTTATCGACAAACAGAAGGATATTGAATCACTGCTCCATGTTGTGGTTAAAGTCTCTCAGCTAAACTAGAAATATTTCCCCAGTCATTTTTTTATTCACTATGTAACTATTGAGTAAGCTGCTTTTACTTTTAAAACATCTGGATTCTTTGTTTTTTATAATAACAACAAATAATTTCTATTTGCTTCTTCTTGCCATTTTAAAGGCCACTAGCATAGTGGCCTTTTTAAAACTGCTGATGATGCCTGATTTTAAGGTCAGTGATCCATCTGGGAGAGCTCTATAGTAAATACATGTCTCATCTGTCTTGTATTATAGGTGCCTTTGGGCTTATATGCTTTGAGCATTTTGGGTACAATGTTAACAAGCCAACGTTCACCAGAAAGTCAGAGTATTTCTTTTCTTTACCTGTCCTTTTAAAGGGATATCATTACACTTCCTTCCATCTTTTTGTTGGTTAGAAGTATCCCCAGCAGGTACTTGAGCTATGTTCTTAGCATCTCTTTTTAAAACTGGTCCAGATACAGGATATCTCTAGCTCTTGTATTTGTCATAACAAAGCTGTGTTTATATCTGGGACCTTGCCTGTCTTCTGGCATTTTCGGGCAGGGTTTGCATTTTTCTCATCCCTGCTGACAATGTCAGTCACCTGCCAGCTATTCTTGATTTCTGTTACTGATAGGTTCTCAGCCTCACAGCTATCTCTGTCTGGAATAATTTTGTAACCTAAAACTTCACAACTTTGGTGGTTTTCTGAAAGGGACAAAGCAGTCCTCTTTCTTCTTCTCTTACATGTACTGAATAAGTAATCCATTACAGTGGTTCTCTCAGCACTGCTCAACCTTTCCAATAAATGATTAATCC